CAATTCGTCCAAAGGGTATATATATATATTTATATATATCAACCTTCTTTGTATAAATACATAAGATTTGTAACCATTAATTTCATTTTCATGAAGGTTTGATTAGGCTCTGTTGCAGCATTTGAAACAGTTGATGAACCAAAGTCTCAATGTTGACACCCAAACAAACCCAACACTCAAATAGATCCAACACCCAGAACATTAATCCATCGATCAAAATTCTACAAACATATTCGAAATTGCAATTAAAAACACCAAATAATCGAACAAATATGGAGTGAATGTGTTTGTGTGTGTGTGTATAATAGAGAGAAATTCACGCAGAGCACCCTGTGAGGATGTATATGAGTGTAGTCGACAGCCTGTAGAATGTTCGAAGATATTTTGATGAGAGTAGAGAAGACCCTCCATCATCGCCGCCGCCCAAGCAGTCTCCACCGAACGAAGAGAGAGCACTGTTGTCCCGGTTTGAAGATCATAGCCCGCTTGCCGAGAATGAAATCGTTGGAGAGTGACGGAGGGGTTTACCTGTCTGGAAAAAGGAAGGAATTTTGAGTAGGAACGCCTCAACTTTTTAGAGGCAGATCACCAAAAAGTAATAATAATAATCATAATAACAATTTTTTATTTATTTATTTTTTATTTTGAAAAAATTTAAAACTAAATTTGAGAATTATAAAAATAAAAAATATTCATTTTTTAAAATTGTAAAAATTATTAATGATCTCTTAAAAGGTAAAAATTATAGTATTATTTTTTTATTTTGTCAATCAAATTTTTTCTTTATTTTAAAGTTTCTTTAGGAAAAAAAATTTGAAACAAGTTTCTGAAAAAAACCAAAAGCATCACAGGAACATTATGTGCTATTGATCGCTCGGGAATATGAACGTATATAGATACTTGTTCCAGACAGTTTATTCACGGAGTTATTAAGCTTTCGGTTATGAGAGAGAGTGTGAGGCGCGGTGCGAGTGGTCAGTGAGACGTCTCTCTTACCAACAAAACCCAAAGTACCATATAAAATTAAGTGCTCTTTTGGCAACTTAGTAAAAAGTTACGTTTGTAACTTGTTTGCTAAAAAAAATTAGGTTGGCTTTTTTAGTAGCGAGTCATTTGGCAAGTCCAAAAAAGCTATATATAAAATTATAATTATATCTTTTATGTTTTTTTTTATATTTACATAGGTGAAAATATAAATTTCCTACATTGGGTGGGGGTAGTTTAGTCATTTTATTGTGATGTGATATCATAAATAAATATTAATAAAAAAAACCAAAGTAACTTTTTACTAACTTCCCAAATCACTTTTCTATAAAATTCAAAAGTTTGATTAAAAGTCAAAAGTTAACTTTTAACCATTTCTCAAAACATCTCTAAATAAAAGTAAAAAATTGGCTCTTCTATCAAGAAATCACATAGTCCTATATATAAAAAGAATAAAAAATTATGATGACAAAAAAGAACAGTGCATCTACCTATGCATCCCTAACATTTTTTTATATAAAATTTCAGTCGGTCGGTCGGTTTCAATGAATACAATTACTTGAGACCGACAACCGACCGAGAATCCGAACTTTTGGTATTTTCTTATCCGACTATGACCGAATTAATGTTCGAAATCAACTGCATGTAGACGGGTCGGGCCGGATCAGTCAGGTTTTACGGGTCGAAAAAAAATTTGAACAGCCCTAGTCCAAGTTATTAAGCACAATGTAATGTGTTGGATGTAATAATCTCATATAGAAATACAGTATGTAATTGCTTAGAACACAATAGATGAAACATACAATAAATTTATCATACTCAACAAAAACTATACAATATCTGTAAAATGCGGTTCGTTTCAATGAAACTCGTGCCTTTAATTATTTTTTGTGTATGAACTTTGAATGCATTTTTTTTAGAAATATGAATATGTTAAGAAATAAATCATTCACTCTGCTTGGTTTCAGCTTTTAGAATAAATTTTTCAGAAAATTCTACTTTTTCATTTTCTGTATTTTTTTTGTTTTCACTGATTTTTAAAAATATTTTAAGCAATTTTTTTAATTTTAGACACACCTAATATAAATACACTTAAAAAGTATAATATTTGTGAAAAAAATCTTTAAAAATTTCACTAAATACCAAAAGTACAAAAAAAAAAAATTAAAATTCAGTACATTTTTCGTATTTTTGTGTATTCATTATTTTAAATTTTTTTTTTTCACAAATATTTAACTATTTAGATACATCTAGGTAAGGTGCATCTAAAAAAGTAAAATTTTTTTTTAAATATTCACTAAAAATAAAAAAAAATACGAAAAATAAAAAACTCAATTTTGAGAAAACTGAAACTAAATACACTGATCGACACATTTAGCATATACTCAATAAAAAATTATCTTCTGTAAAGGAACATGATATGCAATTTTAATATATTATTATTCAAAATGTAAACTTTTTGAAGCTTTGGACATCAATGAGAATGCTACATATCCTGATATAATATGTTCACAATAAACTTTGGTTTTCTCAAGTTGGCCCTCAAGTTTATAGAACTTAAAAAATATTCCTCAATTTCTTGTTTATTTTTCTTTGGTATTTGGTATCCATGCTTGCTTATGGATGATCCACACGCTGTAGGACTAACAATGTACAACATAACTGTCTTTTAAGGAACAACTGTTTCTTATCCTATATCCCACTAATGTAATCATGTTTCAGGGTGCAACAAACAGGATGGTAGCTGCGACTAATATGAATCATGCAAGTAGTCGTTCTCATTAGTGTGTTTACATGTATCATTGAAAGTAAGGTGAGTAGCTCTCCATTTCCCATCTTAATTTTCCTCCCAAGTTATTAATAGTCTCCATGTTCTTGTTTTTCCAATGGTTTTTACTTGGGTGTTGGGATATGCTAATTCAATGGTTCCTGTTTAGTGGGAATCCCAGGGCGTAACTCATCATCAGTTTGCTCAGCTTAATCTTGTGGATTTAGTAGGTTCTGAAAGGTAACATCATCGGATGATTTATAGTGAATACCTAGAAATGGAGCATTCCTGTTGACAACAAGATTGAATCATATACCGTGGATTTAACATAGTTATTATCCTTTTCAAATCATAGGCAATAGAGTTCTGGTAAACGTCTGAAGGAAGCTACAAATATCAACAAGTCCCTTTCGACATTGGGGTTTGTTCTTCCTTCTTTTCCATCCATATTGTTGTAAAGTTAATTAAGAAGTTCAACGTCTGTCCTTTTGAAAGGTCATCGTGGGATTCGAATCTGATTTATTATTTTCCTTAAATTGATATTTTATTATTTTGGTTTTGGGATCTTTTGGCTCGTGATTATGAACCTTGTGAATATATCTAATGGAAAGTCACTCCATGTTCTTTATCGGGATACAAAGCTTACATTTTTGCTTCAGGTGAATAAATGCAACTTTTTTTTATGCTGGATGAGTCATACCAGTATCTTATTTAGAAAATTATGTGTATTAATGTATATATGGTATATATTCCTACATATATTAGGTATTGATTTCCTAGATATATGAGGTATTGCCACAGTTAGGTCTCTTATAGAATACTCTTTTTCATAATTAGATTTCTAGTAGGATATTCTTTCTTAGCCTATATATACAGGCCTTCTATTGTATATGACAAATCATTCAACACAATTCTTTTTTGGGTGAATAATTCAACACAATTCATTCAATACAATACATATTATTTCCTCTCTCTCTCTCTCTCTCTCTCTCTCTACTATTCTAACTTGGTATCAGAATTATAGGTTAAGCTCTTGGCGTTCTTCGCCTTACCGGCGGGTGGCAGCCTTGCCTTGGCCGCCTGCCAAACCTCAACCTACTCCGTTATCAAATTTTCTTGTTAGTATCGCTTCGTGGTGATTCCTTCCTTTGTCCACTAATTTATTCTTATCCCAAATATCTCTATCATATATATATATATATATGTATTTTTACTCGTAATCTAATTTTTTGTGTGTTTCTACTCCACTTTGTCTTTCCCTCTGTTTCAACCTATATAGGTTTTTACCTGCAAACTTATTTGAGTTTGAGGGAGGGTATTATACCTATATTATGGTGAGCATGGTTATACACCATGTGAACCACCCAAGCCGCCCTCTTTGGCGTATCATCCAAGCTATCCCCTTTGGTGCACCATCCAAGCTGCCAAGCCGCCTCCTCTGGCGCATAATCTAAGCTATCCCCTCTGGGGTACA